GAGTTCAGTACACTCCACTCCCTCTAGTGAGGCTCGGACTCATGCATCATAAGCACATGACCTCATTCATCATAGTAAAGTAGGCTTCTACTAGGTCTTTGGGCACATGCATACTGTGTTCTACTCCACTATGTTAAAGCATAATGAGGAAACAAAGCAATTTCTCTGCTCACTTATAGCTGTACTGCTGAAATAGTGCATACCTCTGTAACAAAGATTTTCTCTGCAACCTCCTCCAAAACTAGGGGGGCATGCGGAACAAGGGCGGCCAGGTTTATAAGGAGCATGACCCCACCAGTTACCCCTTTACATCAAAAAAAAAAAAAAAATTAGCAAAACATGCCTTAATAAATGAACATTTTAACATTAAGCAGCATTTAATATGTGGACAAATAAATTATGAAAAACAGCAAACACTTAGACCATCGCATTGTTTTGATATACCAAATGCACAGGAAGTAATTGAAAAGTTCATGAAGAAAAAACTGAAGTACGGACATAAGTGGCTGTAAGATCTTTTTATGTTGGCATAGCACCGTAAGACTAAATTCCTGAATTACATGAGAACAGGTTCCACTCTCCTAAATGGAACATTCTATAGAATTCGATCCTAACCATGGGCTTCACATCACACATTCCTTAAAGTCACATTTATTTTTCAGACAAATATTACATTACAACAAAGATCTCGGATGTATGCTAAAACACAGGCCAGAAAACCAAAGCTCTAGAAAATCACAAGAGTATTTGTGCAGCCACAGGCTGCCTTGGAAACAAAATGATCAACTTTGTAATAGCACAAAAAATAGAAAACGCAGACTGATTTCCTTTCAGATTATTTTCTGGATTATTATAAAGTATCTTGCCCACTCAAGATATTATTGTGTGTCAGCTTACTTACTTAGGAGAATAATTGCATACAAGATAGACTGCTTTTGGCCAAATCTGTCCCCAGATGTTCATGTTATGACACAAATTAATTGCACAACCGATTCTGCTACTAGTAGCCCAAACAACCTATGGAAAAGGAAGAGAAGGGCATGTGAAAACCAAAGCTGATTAACAAAAAATCAAAACTGTCTCCAAACTTCAATGTATAAAACTCAAATCACAAAAGTGATACTATATGAAGTGACCTAATTGCAACTGTCAAAGGGCCATTCAGTTATACCCTTGTTAGAAGGAAAAGCTTTGCCTTGATACAAAAGAGATGGCTCTCATTTTATATAAATGGCCTAAGCTGTTATTTGAAAGTTTAGCAAAATATTTACAGCACATAATCTGAAGAACTGATTTTCGGAATTATAATTAGTCAATAATCATGAGTTAGAAGAAGTCAGGTTCCTGTGCCCTGAAGTTCTCAGAACTACCTAAGGACCCAGAGGGGTTTAGATTGGTAAGATTGAGAGAATAGGTATTTGTCAGCAGTGAAAGGAGGTAACATAATTGATAAAATTATTCACAAAAAACCTCATACACTGAAAAGACTCAAGTCATGGATTTTAAATTAATATGCTTTCATGTCATTGCAATCTAAGCTGGCTACGCTCCTTTATTCATCTGTTGAAACCATTTTCATTGCAGTTCTCAAAATAATCTGAATGACAAAGGCTTGAACATTCAAATTAGATAAATATGAAACATTCAAATTAGATAAGTATAACAGGTGCTAAACTTGTATTAATTCAAGATAAGCCAAGTGTGTAGTTCCAAAATGATTTAGGAGTTGAAAGAGATAGGTACTCTGAAGAATTAGTACCACAAAGAACTAAATATATGCATTGTAGAGCTCGCGTGTAATGGGTAAGTGTAATTACAGGGATTTTTACAGAAATGGTAAATAAAAATATGGAGTTAATTCTGTTTTACAATTAGACACAATTGTAAATTGTGCTAGTAAACAAACAAAATAAATATTTTAAAATTAGTAATTGTGTGGGTTTCTAGTATTATATTGAATACATGGATTTTAGTATAATCTGAGGATCACATATTTCTCTTTCACTGAAAACATGACTGGTTTTCCTCTGGAAAAATTCAAGATAGATACACAGATTTCAGGAGTACTGAATAAATTAGTTCTTATGCAATTTCAAAATTTTGCTGAAGTTAAAGCAACGTGTTAAATACTGTTGTTTGATCTGAGGAATTCACCTAAGAAAACTATTTTTTGTTTTAAATGTGCTCTTTCTTCAGCATATTACGGAAAGGACTAGCAGCATACCAGCACAGAGACTAGATTATGCAAAATGCACTGAGTGCACTCAGTACTGGGTTTTGTGAGCTTTTTCCTTAATCCTGTTAAGGAAGTGATATTTATGAGTATGAATTCTAAAGATTTGTATGACAATCCTACTCTACGTCACCAATACCCAATGCTTGTAACTATGGAGTCTAATAACAAGTCCCTTCCGTGCTTTAGTGCTATATTATATACTGCAAGATTAATACGTTCTACATGTCACACAGCAAACTAACTGGAGTTCTTGACTGCTCTTTTCCATAGCTGACAAAAGCCAAACCCACCTACATACCTGTGTGTAATGTGTACAAACAGGACCAGAGCATTTGTAAGGGCAATATGGGTTGCATTCATGAGGATGGGGATACGTGAAATCTCTCACTTCATCATACCATGCTTGGACATGAAATGTTGGAGGTCTGTACCTATGAAAGCCAGTAGCAGTCTATTAGGTCATTCAAAAGTTGTAGCTTCTGTCATTCTACTTTTAAGCAAATTTAGTTAGATTTAAAAAAAACTAGTATAAAACAGTATCTTAAACTACCTTCCCCAGTGTGCCCCCAAATTCTGCCCAATTGATGGAAGAAGGCTTGCAGGCCCATGCTCCCAGAGACACGTTTCAGCCCATGACTCTGCAGATCTCTCCAGTTCTGTGTCCCATGTCTGAAATTTGAAAGACAAGAAAGGGACATCTTCTTAGAAATACTTAGTGGTTATCTCTTATTAAAAAAAAAACAAACAAAAGCAAGACTTGATGACTCTATTTGTGTTACATAAGAAAAAAAAAACATGTTTTCACCAAGAAAAAGTTTTAATCCCTGTACAGCATTCTCTTTAAAAGCATGTGCAGCCATGCTGCAGTGAATAAAAGACAAATATGAAACTGAAAGGCTTAGTTCAACTTTCCAAGCTAAATTAAGTGCATTTTCTGTCTTGTGAGATTTCTTTTTAATAATAAGCACTTTTCTTAGCCAAAAGGGTATTATCCAACACATTTTCAACATAAGACTTTATTTCCTCTAAAGCAATAGTTTATCTGAAATGAAAGTGCTTTTCTCTCCCTTTTCTATAATCAGCTTTTGTTGAAATAATACACAGTGCAAACAAAATATGAAAAATAGAGTAAGGTTCTCATTCATTGGTTTTATGGATAGGTTGGCAAAAAAGGAGGCATTCATGTTATTAAGAGTCATGCTTAGGACAAGTTAACAATAAAGGTTATGAATTATTGCTTATCACAATTGTTTATCCTTATTTTTTATTCTTTAAGGGACATGGAAGTATAGGCTTGTAGCTGAAAGGCAAATACAAGTTTGTTTCTTTCAAAAGCATACGAACACCTACTCTTCTTGAAAGAAATTATACCATACTGTGTATGCATAGCTTTTACTGCATTAAGCTGGGCTTTGCTCAAAGTGGTCCCTCTTGTGCAAAGTATGCATACCATTGCTTGACTTTTTAAATTTCATGACAGTTGCAGAAGTAGTTTCCAGATATCTGACTCTGATACCAATGCTCAGGTTAGGAAACAGGAATATTTGCAGGACGGAAACACATTTCTTGATAGACGCTCAATTATTTCACCATAAGTTCAGTCTAAGTTTCTTAGAGTGAGACTGTGTTATCTAAATAACAATAATTCAGTATATCCAAACCGAAATTCCCATGCCGACACTGGAGAGCGTGTCTACAAATTTTTAGCACAGATTAAAGGTAAAAAAAACCCTTAACACAGCCAAAGAACACAGAAATATAACAGACAAATTCCATGTGCTAGAATTTATTTTTCTATTGATTTTGACAAGCAGTTTTCACCTTATCAGTCAGAGTACTCATTAAAAACAAAGATGTCCTTGGTTATGCAAGATCATGATTACATAAAAACTTTAATATCACCCACTTTAATCCTAGAATATCTGTTCTTGGTTCTCTTCTTCAGCAATCTCTAATGCATTGAATTCCATTTTGTCTGTTATTATTATCAGCAAATAAGAAATTTGCAAGGTACATTTTGACTCCCAAAATGCAACATTTATTTTGAAAGAATTACTTTAACAGTATAATAATGAGAGGACAAAGCCTTTAACCCACATATGGATGCAAGACCCACTGACTTTAGGAAACAGTAGGAAATTTCTGTTTACCCTACTGGACCTGTATTTCAATGTCATAAGCTATAACATCCTTTAAGCTCCATACGAAAATACTCTAATCTTAATTAAGGAAGTTTTATATGAGAATTTGATAAATCTTTTCCTCTTCCCTTTCCTTGTCACAGCATCATAAATAGTTCTTCCTATTCTACTTGTTGTAAAAAACATAAAGATTAACACACTTCTTCCACACGCATATTCTTTTCTTATGAATTGTAGTACAATTGCTTCATCATTCTACAATGGAATCACGAGACTGTCACATTTTAAAACAAATGCCACAATACGTTCTCTTGTAAAGCATCCCTCTGCATTTTCAACTCTGAAAACAGCAGTCACGGTTAAAGGAATCGTACTGGTTTTGTAGGTTATTTTTGTCCATGCAAGTTTCAAAATATTTTATGCAGCTATTTTAACTGAAATTATTTTTTGGAAGATCAGAGTCAGGTAGTCAATAGTAGCTGCTTGAATCCGCAAGCTTGTGAAGTAGTTATCTTTAACAAAAACTTCTTTTAAAGACTGATGATCGCTATGCAAGACAGAGCCATCCAGAATTCTGCAAGAATAGCCTTTTGATGAAAAACTGAAATTCATCATTAATCCTCCTGACAGATGAACACCCACACTACAATGTATTGTTGAGATTGGATACTGTCTTCAAAAGAGTTCTTTTTTCAATTGTTTCTCTGCCTTCATCCAAAATATTGTCTTCACTCCCTGCTGCTTGCCCAGCCAGAGATAGGCAGACTTCTAGGCTGCATCAGAGAAATAATCTTCACGGCTGACGGGATGCAGGGAAGCTCTTTGCAGGAAGCATAGTGCAGGAGACAATGAGGAGCTTAGGGTGGTTGGATATCATTGCACAGTCATTCCTGACTCAGAAAAGGTTGGTGTATGAGTTAGAGAGCCAACTCCACTCTCCCCGAGAATAGGTTTGTGTGTGTGAGGTTATCTCATACAGGAATCTGCACAATTAATTAAGGGCAAGAGGTCATAGCTTAAGGCTCATCGTGAAGGAATCACCCTATTTCTTTTTATGTCAGAGTTTAAATCTGTCCCATTGGTGCTTTCCAGGGTTTTTATTTAATACTGTTTATGGTGAAGTGAGCCTCATCATAGTGCACCTTCCTTGAAGCAGCTTCATTTATGATTCTGCTCTGGAGTCCTCCAAGACAGTGATAACATCAGCCTTCCTTGGTCATTGCCCTTCCTTGTCAATCATAATGACAGGTCTAATGACAGAAACTCCACAGAGTCATCAGTTCGTGACATATGAGAGGGATGGAAGGGAATGAAGTAATAGGAAAGTTAGAACTGAGCTAATTAAAATTTTAGTCATTGTTCACTGAAAACAAATAATTAGAGGATAAAAAAAAATTTTGTTTCAATTTAAATTTTTCAAATTTCCTTTCTTTAATCAAAAATTTAAAAGTATTCTAACTAGCATTAACAAGCTAGACAATTGTCATTTATTAGTGTGTCAAAGAAATTGGAAATGTTTAAAATGTACTAAGAAAGTAATTATTTAGCCTAATAAGATACATTGTTTTAATTAGCATAGTAAATTTTTATATAAAAATATCTTTGTATCATTTATTCAGTTATCAACTGTTCTCTAAAAAAAAGCTTCAACAATCTAATCTTCATAACACTGGAGAAAAAACATTATTTTTAAAACTTGAATAATTGGTATTCCTGCACCATATATATGTGATACTGTCTCATGAGAACCGTCTTGTAAATCAGAATTCAAATGCAAGCATAAAAAGATAGGTATATCTTTTATCAAAAATATGCCATAAAATTTCACAGCGTAAATTTCATACACTCATTAATTTTTATTTAAGTTTAATCACTAAAACATTGATTAAAAGTAGTGAATAAAAAGTTTAATGATAAAAATAATCATACTAAAGCCATATAAAAAGCTACCTAGCATGTATGTTGAGCACATATAGCTAGCATAATTTACATAATTTATTGTCAGAAAACACTGCCTATTATCCTGCCAGCCAATGTTTAGTTTGATTCAGGGTTTTTTTGGAAGAGAAGGAGGTCATGAAGAAATATTGACCTACAGTAAAACTTAGCAATGCTGATTCTTCATTAAGACTATGTTTGAGTTCTAATGTGTTCAAATATACAATGACTATTGTTAATGGAGCCAGTTATTTCAAAACTACTTCAGGTATCTCTGTGCCAAATTGCAGTTCACAGTATGGAGGTACACCAAGTAAATTACCAAGATATAGCTTAATTTATTCTTCATTTTAATTATTTAAATACTGGTTTGGGGTGTGATGGAGTAAATCTCAAAACCATTACTTTTTCAGATGTAAAAAATCTGTGAATTGTAAATCATGTATAGGAAACAACCTCTTTAATTGCAGTATTCATCATCCAACTGTCTCATTTTCTTATCAAAGCCACTGCTTCCTGAAACGTCTGTAACAGAAGTTAGAATTAAAATAAAACCTCTCCTAAGTTGCATCAAATCTATGAAATATTCTGGAAGAGATGATCCAATGTCCCAGTTCCAAAGAACTTCCTAGAGATCCGAGTCACTTTCTTGATTGCCAGAGACTTTCAAAAGAAAATTAAAAGGGGATAAACCACCAATAACCTCATAAAGTCAGTAGAAAAGGTAGAAGAGATTAGAAGTCACAGTTACTTGGACCTCCAAGCCCTACCAAGACAACACAATTGTTTCCAATACAATACAACTCCAAATCACAATGTAGAAGTGAAAAAGTTTTTTCTCAATCTCCAGGATCACTCTAATGATTTGTAATAAAAAAGGGGAAACTGATACCCTAATTTCTGATGCAATTCTTGAGAAGACTTTATCTTAAATTTATATCTGACTATGCCGGTGATGCAAAAATTTTACACAGGTGTTAATAACATTACGAACAGTTATGAAATTTCTCAAAACAAAAACTTGTAAAGGAAATCTGACAGACTGGAATCCCATATCACAGCTAATACAAAGGAAATTAGCTTAAAGGTATTTTTAAAGGTAATTTCTACAATTACATGTAGTTGGAACTTAAACAATTCAAAAGGTTTTGTATTGCTTTGCCAACATGCCTAATCATTGCTTGAGAGACTGGATCAAGAACAGGAAGAAGCTGCTTTACATCAGTGAGGCCACCTTCAGTTTTGTCCTTCTCTTCCAGTAGCTAAAATAGGAGATCCAAATATCCTTCCTAAATTAATTATTTTGATTGATGTTACATGAACAAAAACTGAGCATGTTAACTCTGAGGACTAGAAAACTGTTAATTTTACAGTATTTTCAGACCAATCCAGCCAGATTAGCTCTAAATATAACACATTTTATCATATTTGTTCTGTGTTTGCTCAAATAACAGGCTAATGAAACAAACACATAAAATAAACTGTGTAAGTATATAAAACCTACCTCCTTACTGGAACAGGAGTTTTATTCTTGTGCTCTTACTAGCAGTACCTTGTTTCAATTACATGATGGCAAGCTTTTGGCTTCAA